AAGCACCTTTAAAATCCAAATAACATAACTTCTAGTGTGGTATTTTATAAACAAAGAAGATTTTTAATGGTTTTTTTAAAAAGGTAAACTACATGCTAAACCAAATTTCTTTAATAGCTGAAAGGACTTAAGTATTACTGTTTAATATTATCTTACAAAAGAAAAGAAACACACTTCCAAAATAACACCAAAGACAAGACTTTTTTTTAAAAAAAAGTGTTTAATGAAAAAAAGTAAAACAGGAAATGGCACTTAAAAATGACAAGATAGTAAGTAAATCATATCAGTCCTTTTAATTTGCTGTAATAATTCCTTTTCTTTGGAGTGTTCTGTATTATGCTCATTTTGTCCCAAAGAAAAATCACTAAAAATAAGTTTTCCAACATAAAAAATGCATTCAGGTTCTCCTTGGGAGCAATAAACAATGGGTGCACTTTTCAGTGACAACACAAACATGTAAAACTGATGAAGCAGAAATTGCACCTGATTCTTACATGTTCGTGCATATGATGATACAAACACAAGTGCTTTTATCTTGAAGACTCAAGAGAATATTTCCAGTTTTGACCTGTGAAAATTTCTGTACTTGTCAGAGAAATCTCATTAGCTTTATTGGGTTGGCCAAAAAGTTCGTTTACATGCTTTGTTTTGTTTTGGTTTTTTTTTTGGTAACCGAATAAATGCCAGTGCAGCAACTATGAAACGATTTCACTTCAGGTGTCACTATAAATGATTCAATTACCGGAGCACAATAAATGCTGGATCTTTCTTTAAAAAACATGTGAGGTGTGTGTGTGTGTACATTATTGTGTAATTTTAAAAAATTTTTTGGAAAAGTCTCACCATAAAGATTTGATTTTAGGATTAGAACTTGGTTCTGCCTGCACAGAGATTCCCCAAGTGCTGTGGCCCTGCCACTGATGCCAAGCATCTTGGTCCCACTGAGAGGCTAACATTAAAGACAGGAAGCGAAAGGTGAAAATGAAAAACAGGAAGATGAGAAAGTAGGAGAGAAATGGAAAGACATAAAAACAATTGCTACCATACTAATAAATGAGGATATAATGATTTGTACTCTTATGACATTAAACATAATTCTGAATTCAATCATGAAATCATGTTCATGTTGGTTTATCCAACACACGAGATTTATCCTTTTTGTATAAGTTTAAGCAGTACTATGTCTAATCCTAAATTTGTATGTAGTGCCATCTTCAGGGTGGGTTGGAATGATTACTCCATTATTAGATCACTATTTTGTGACTGTGAATAAGGTTTTGTATGGTTTGCTTGTTTTATAAACACCATAACTGCAATGAAATAAATACAAACCTCTACAAGTCCATATAAATATCCATGTCAACAACAAATTCAGGAAAAGTCACAACCATTTGGAGTGGAAGCACTGAATATGGAATAGACATTTCAAATAAATAGTTAAGCTTGGAGCAATATATCCTAAATGCTAAATGGTTGTTTTGGAAGTTGAAAGAAAACTTAGATTTTCTAGCCAATTTTTCAAATATTGGAATTTCTAATGTAAGTCACAATTTTAGAGATTTATATTGGGAAAAGAAAAACTCAGCGAGAAAAACATGGTCGGAATTTCTAGTGATTTGCTATTGAACGTCTCAATATCCATGCACACAAAAATATTACACTTTGCTATGAGAAAGTGTTCTTGCATTCTCCAATGGTACTCTGTAGTCATGCATTAAGCAGAATTTTAAAGGAAACCAGGAAAAGACAGGACAAGCTAGGAGGATAGAAGAAACCCAGTCTCAAGCTCATCCCACAGATAAGCAATGTGCTATATGGGGCAGTGTCACCTTTTGGCAGACTTCAGACCACAAGTTTCAGGATTCCACTGTATTAAAATCTGTGGTTATCATATTTCAAAGGCGTTAATGTAGTAGTTTTATGGAAATTATCAAAAGCAGGGAAAATTCTGCCACATGGGTAACATGCTAACTATAGAAAATAATTAGCACTTTTAGGCAGTGGGGATTGGAAGATCAGTTTTTCTAAATTCTCCACCAAACTCATCTAACATTTTTCAGAATACAGTAAAGGAATTCCAAAGCAGAAAACCACACCAAATTCTAAGGATTCATGGTCTCATGATGCATCATTCTAGAATGTTCTAGAGTCTTATCACTGATCTTTGCTGGAAATCCTATTGTGTATCTTCAGACTAGAACTAATAATTGAGAGCTGCAGATAAACGTGGCTCTCATACAGGAAAACACATCGCTGTATTTCAGGTCTTTACAAGCAGACGTTTTTGTGGGGCTTGCCAAGAGAGGAAAGAAACTACTTCAGGTCTATGAGCCACCAACAAATCTGAATGACATCTGTGGGGGTTACGGGCCATACTGAACAAGCAGGAAGAAAACCTGAACGGAGGTCAGGGAATCATCTCACATCCTGGTTCTTTCACCAAAACTCCATTTGTGGGTATACAGGATACATTTTCCCCATCCAAAAGACAACCCAGAAATTCTCCCACAGGCTTTAGAAATCAAATAATGAATGATGTCACCTTTAGTGGTAAAATGAGGAAACATAAAATACAACAGCAAAGATAGAATTTCACATCATAATGGTAATTTCCCTTAACATAAATAACAAACCACAGGCCATCCAACTTGTCAAAAGGAAAGTATGGGTTATTACTCAACCATTTTAGATTTAAATTTGTTACTACTGTACACTGCTGCATACTACTGTTGACTGATCCTGACACAGTCTTTGGTAGTGCTGAGGTTTTTGTATTTTTTTTTCATGGTAAGACTTTCTCTGCTGTTATTAGAACCTATCACTCAGTCGTGTCTGACTCTTTGCGACCCCATGGACTGTAGCCTGCCAGGCTCCTCCATCCATGGGATTTTCCAGGCAAGTGGACTGGAGTGGGTTGCCATTTCCTTCTCCAAGGGATCTTCCCAACCCAGGGATCAAACCTGGTCTCCTTCATTGCAGGTAGACGCTTTACCATCTGAGCCACCAAGGAAGCCCTATGATATCCTACTGCCTTCCAATACATAGCATATCTATCGTATTTGCATTACCAAAACATTTTCCTTTTAAACCTTCAGATAGCTGTCTATCTGTGATGAAAAATAAAAATTTTTGTTCCTCAAAATTTCTCTGTAAAACAGGATGTGTCTTATACATATCTGTGTGTCTTATAGAACAGTAATGATATCGGATATGTTTCTTTGTATTACAATGTCCTTATTTGCCCAGTGGAGATGATGCAGGTCCCTACCAAGTTCACTAGGCTGTTACAAACATCAAGGAGATCAATTATGCACACATTTGTAGAGATAAATAAAGCATTATGCAAAATGCCCTTATGCTAATAGCAGCTACTAGGGACTAAGTTAGATCCCTTTGGGTAAAGAATATAGAACTTACACACTGTTCTCCATCCCCCTTGTACTGTAGCTAGGTGATAAGACCTGCCTGGTTCCTTGGCTCACAGCCGGATAACCCTAGAGAAGGAAAAAAAAACCAACAGATCTTTCTAAGGCTGGTAGGAAGATCAATTTCCTTGCCAATAGAATCCACTGAACGTTTATTTGTACATATCACATTCCAACTTGGCCTTTAATTTCCACCAATTGCCCAAGAGTTGAAAGAGACATGGCTACACCTACCAAAGTAAGAGATAAAATGCTTTTGTCTCCAGGTAACCACAAAATCACATCTCTGTTAAATAGACTGCTTAGGTTTCACATCGCTACTGAATTTCTCCTTTCAGAAGCTGAATAGACATGTCTTATGATTGGGAAAAAGAGGCCTGGGTAGGATCACGGACTCAGTGGACAGGAGTTTGAGCAAACTCCGGGAGATAGTGAAGGGCAGGGAAGCCTGGCATGGTGCAGTCCTTGGGTTCACAGAGTTGGACATGGCTTGGCAACTAAACAACAAACAATTTTTCTTAAAAAAAAAAACAAACCCAGATATGCTTCACCCTTTATCACTGCCCAATTAGCTAAAATTTGGATGCTTTTCCCACATTATTTTTTTAAGTAGAAAAGGACAGCTTTATTGCTTTGCCAGGCAAAGGGGGACATAGCTGGCTCCTGCCTGAAACACTAAGTGCCTCAACCTTAAAGAATGATGAGGGGTTTTATAAAAATGGTTCAAGGGTGTGATCTCTGACAAGACTAGGGTGTGTGCACAGCTTGCACTCCCTTAATCTCATCTCCTAATCTTGATGAGCTTCTCTGTCCCAGACAGATTTTAAATAAAGCACTGTAAACATAATCATTTTGTCTAAATTTTTAGTCTCCTACATAAAACTCTCAGCATAGGGTTCAACTTTTACTCAGACTACCTGTTTTAGACACATTATATGATGGAAAAGACAAGCAACAAATAAATACAGAAGTGGGGGAAAAAAGGCTAGATGAGACTACACTAAAAATTCTTTTCCCTAGTTGATAGGATTATGGCTAATCTCATCTTGATTTTGGTCCACTGACCTACAGATCCTCTAAAATTTTTTAAAGTTTGTTTGCTTTCTAATAAGCACCTATTGCTTTTGTAACAAGGGGTGGGGAGAACCAATTTCATAGAAAGAGTCTCAAGAAAAATGGATAAAATATATCACATCAGATGTCACCGCCATTGTCTGCAACACTTGGGAACTCGAAGGCTCATGAGACTTCCTTTTCACAGCTAGCTCAACTCAAAGGCTCATGAGACTTCCTTTTCACAGCTAGCTCAACCTGCTTCAACAATGTTAAGTGAGCAATAATACAATTAAAAAAAAACACACAAAAAAACAGAGAGATAAATAGCATTTTAGGAAAAAAAACCTAAAGCATATTTCCTTTTAGGGGCAACTAATTTAGCAACATTTAACAAGGCTTTTAAAACTCAATTGTCATAGAGCACCATGAAATAGTCACACAAAAGAGATCCAGGCAGCTTGAAGATGAATATTTCCTCGTTCATGAGATGCCTAATTGACTTGTGACAACATGAAATACTCAGTGCATCTGGTTGGGGCCAACATGGATGATGACGTGTTTCTCATAGGCCCTTTTCATTGTTTTCTCAATTTGCTTCAGAAAAACCTGTGGAATTCGTCCACATAAAGTGTGCACAGTCTCCAAAAACTTCAGCTGAAGAGGGTAATACATGGATTGAAAGAGATTGTCTTGAAAGGGAAACTGAAAGATGAGTGGGAAAAAAAAAGGAAAAGTTTATTTTAGTTACTGAAATGCCATTGAAAAAGGAAATAACTTACTGGGAAATGACACAGGGAATTATTGGAAACACGCAGTCACAGTTGGTATGTTTTTAGATACAGTGGAAGGGACCTCCAAGGACCAAAGTTCAAACCCTGATTCAATCCTGTGCAACCCCAGGCCATTATTTACCCTTTTGGAAGCTCAGTGTCTTTACTTAAAAAAAAAAAAAAACAAAACCAGATGATTTATTTGTGTTCTAAAAGCTCTTAAAATTTAAGAGTCAAGTATTGGGTTGGACAAAAAGTTTGTTCGGGCTTTTTCCATACCATCTTATGGAAAAGCCCAAAGGAACCTTCTGACCATCCCAATGTATTTCCCAGAACAGGATATTCTATATACCATACTCTTGCTGAGTAGATCAATATTCAAGTATAAACAACAGGATCTTAACTATACAGCACAGGGAACTATATTCAATATTCTGTGACAAACCATAATGGAAAAGAATAAGAAAAAAAAACACATATGTATAACTGAATTACTTTGCTGTACAGAAGAAATGAACACAACATTATAATCAACTATACTTCAATAAAATTGGAAAAAAAGGTTGAAATAGATAATTGGAATCTACTACAATAAAACAATCCTTCATATTTTTTGCCTTTATAGCAATCTTAGTAAAGGAACTACAGTGATCTCATGAAGTCCAGAATTTAACAACTACTAGTGAAATGTTTCATCAGTGAACTTTATTTTAGTAATTTAGGTACTGACTATTGGTTGTTGGTTTTATCCCACTTCATAATTTAAAAAGATTATCCTGCTTTCCTATGGAATATGTCTATATTCTCCCAAACAAATCTTTCGGTCTACCTAATTATGAGAGTAAGTCAAAGTTTTATTACAATCTCAGCAAAAGGGAAAAGGCCTCCCGTTAGGTCAAGTCAAAGATTCACTGTTGGCAAGGACATTTTAAACAAAAAGACTAGAGAAAGGAAAAAAAAAAAAGGAAAACAAGAATGATGAAAAGTCAGAATATTATTGCCTGACAGCAGAGTGGGTTGGGTGTGTAGTTTCCCAAAACAAGTTTTAATCCATTAAAGTTCATCAGAAATATTGCTTAAGCGAGTTTATCAGAAATGTGATTTTCTTCCCAGAAGGAGGTTAAGGTTCAGTCCGAGACTATGTTTGGAGCACTGTTTCTTTCACAGCACAATTTAGACCACTGAGTGACGTCTTCTGGGGTTTACCAGATGGCTCAGTGGTAGAAAATCTATCTGCAGATGCAGGCAATGCGGGAGATGCAGGAGAAGCCTGTTCCATCTCTGGGTCGGGAACATCCCCTGGAGTAGGAAGTGGCATCCCACTCCAGTATTCTTGCTGGGACAATCCCATGGACAGAGGAGCCTGTCGGGCTACAGCCCATGCAATCACAAAGAATCAGACACGCTGAACATGAACGAAAACTTCTCTTCACCACTGTCTCCCCCAGTGACAGGAAAAGAAGAGGTCAAAAGAATGGATTCATCTCTGATTCCTCTCTTTCCCCACATCCTTCATCTAGTCCATCAGCAACTCTATCTCCACAAATGTATCTGGAATCCGGCCCCTTCCTCCCATCGTCCTAATTCTGCACAAGTACCAGCCAGCCCCATCTCTCACCTGGATGGTTGTAATCAGCCTCATAAGTAACCTTTGTGTCTTCACTGTTGCAGCCCTTCCACCAGCAAACAAGCAGGTATTTTTAAAACATAAATCAGAGCACATCATTTTCTTGCAGGGGCTTCCCACTGCAATTAGAATAAGATTCAAACTGCTCTCTTTCCCCAAAGGTTCAGTGAGATCTGGAACTCTCTATGCTCATCTCTGCTCGCTCCACTTTTCTGGTCATTCTGGTTACTGCAGCCTCTTCCCACACACTTATTCCTGCCTCAGGGACTTTTCCTGGGTTCTTTCTTCTACTTGGCAGGACCTCCCTCTAGATTTCCCCAGGGCTGCCTCCAGGGATCAAGGCTCAGGCTGAGGACTTGAGCTTGTGAATCCTCCTCTCCATCCAGGATGGCCATTACCCTGCTCTGGCCAGCTTTTAATCTCTCACTGTCTGAAAGGACTTTTATTATTTCTTGGTTTATATGAGTATTGTCTGGCTTCATCCACCCAGTATATATGCTTCATGAGAAGCAGGTTTTATCAGTCTTGGTCTTGTTGACTTCTGAGTTTCCTAGAACCTAGACTGTTCCTACATTAAATAGGCTCTTCACAGATGATTGTTGAAAAAGTTACTGGCAGAATGTCTGCTTGGTACGTAACTTTCCTTGGGTCATAGTGGGAGCAGATCATACTTCCCCTTCACAGAAACATACACGCAGGGTTAGGGTGTGTGAACATGAGTTGGGGGGAGAAAGGGGAGGGTATGGGATGGGAGAGGAGGAGGGAAAGAAAGAGAAGGGAAGGAAAGAAGGAAGAGGGAGGAGAGGGGGAATATTTTCAGAGAAGAAGAAAGAAAGGAAAAAACACAGTGAGAGGTAAGAAAAAAAAAGTGTGAACCTGTAATCATGCAAACAACTTCTACTAACTGTTGAGCACAACTCTACATCAGGCACTGTACTGAAAAGTGTAAACACCATCATTATGTTGAATTCCAACAACACCTTTTAGAAAATATTATCTCCATTTCACAGATGAGGAAACTGAGGCCCCAGTAAGGCAAGAAGAGGCTTCCCTGGTGGCTGAGTGGTAAAAAACCTGCCTGCCAACACAGGAGATGTGGGTTTGATCCTTGGTCCAGGAAGACTCTCCTGGAGAAGGAAATGGCAACGCACTCAAGTATTCTTGCCTGGAGAATCCCATAGTCTAGAGTACTATAGTCCATCGGGTCAGAAAGAGTTGGACATGACTTACAGACTGAACAATAACAACAAAAGGCAAGAACAGAGAGCTAGTAGCTAATCACCAGAAAGTGATAATATTGGGATCTGAACCCAGGTCTACTGATGCCCAAAGCCAAGACCTGACTGGATTGCACTGTAGGGCACAGTGATTGAGTGAAGAAATGTGTCTTGTATGATGAAGTCTGTCCATATTTACTCGAGTTTCAGGATGGGGTTAGTGACAGTCCTGATTGAAATGAATGAGAATTGGAGAATTGTCTTTTTAGGCCCAACTGAGGAAAATCAGCTGGTGTATTAGCCAGGATCCTTTATGAAACATTTATCTGGCCTGTTTTCTGATCCACCCAGAAAACAAACAAGACAGACTGTAATTCTAGAAGCACAGTTGCTCAATCCCAGATCAGGGCTGACAGATCACAGAACAACCGGAAGGCGTGGTTCTGATGTCCACGTCTGCGGCAGCCTTCTTTAGCTTGCAGGTGCACTCCTGAATGGGTTTGCACCTAGAGTCCAGTGTCTGAATATCTAAATGTGATATCACTAAGTACAGAACACATTTTCTATGTAATTAAATCAGCAGGAAGCTGGGGAAGAAAGAAGTATTAGCTTATAGGTACATGAAATATTTTCCCTCCACAGAAAGACAATTGTGGGATTCTAGAATTGGAATTCTCTGGGATTCTCTTTGCGTGCATGCGTGTTAAATGGTTTCAGTTGCGTCTGACTTTGTGACCCTATGGACTGTAGCCCACGAGGTTCCTCTGTCCATGGGATTCTCCAGACAAAATTACTGGAGTGGGCCAGTATTCTGCAGACAAAAATCCTCCTCCAGGGGATCTTCCTGACCCAGGGATTGAATCTGTGTTCTCTTATGTCTTTCTTATTGGCAGCTTTGCAAAATGCATATTTTCATACATGCAAAAATGTATGAAATATTACTATATTGCAGGGTTCACTCCCACTTCACCCCTACCAAAGCCTGTTCACGAATCATGAGGGTTCTTGGGTACTCAAGAAAAAACCCTCTAATAAAATCTACATGCTATATGTCAGGGGTTGGCAATTTTTTGCTGCAAAAGCTGGAGAGTAAATATTTCAGATTCTGTGGGTCATACAGTCTATCACAGTGACTCATCTCTGCTTCTGCAGCATAAAAGTGGCCACAGATAATACATACACGAATGGTTGTCACTATGCCCCAACATGACTCTATTTATGAATGAAGAAATTTGAATTTCATAAAATTTTCTTATTTCACAAACTAGTCTTCTGTTCATTTCCCCCCAACTCTTTAAGAAACCATTCTTACCCCACATGTCTTACAAAAACCGACCAGATTTGGACCAATACTTGGCCCAAGTTGGATGACCCCTAGAGTCCTGTTTTTTGGAATGAAAGTTTCAAAAGAGAAATCTCTGAAAGTAGCTGTTGCTGGTTTTCCCCCAGCAACTTCAAGGTGAAAGGCAACGTGGAAAGAGGCATTTCCAAAGTGTGTGAGTCATAGCAGGCAGGACTTGACTGTTACTTCGGTTTGGCTCCTTGCCTAACTGACCAACTTGACACTTGTTTGTTCAACAGGCTGGAGCTGGCAACCAGGCAACATGTTTAGCTTGAGTTGAATAATATAATTTTATTTTTATTGTATTAATATTGTGTTTACCCTAACCTATGATCCTTTATTATGGCAAATGGCACAGGGTTTCTCTTTCTGATAGGACATTTCCACCTTCAGCGAACTTATTTCAGGGGAAAAAATAAGTGACCTACTTGGAAATAGTAAGTCAAGAGTGAATAAGGTACAGTATCAGGTAGTAAGAGGTGTAATGTGACTGATGTTGGGGAAAATTGGTGTAATTCAATGCTTCTGAGGAATTATTTGACCTTCAAAGAGATGGGTGACCAAAGCGCATGCACTGCATCACGCTGATAAGCACGTGCCTGAAGAATGGGGACGAGAACGCACTTACATCTCGGATCGCCTCATAGAGTGCTTTGAAAGTTGGCTGCTTCTCGTCATGGTAGACACCTCGATTCCCATGCAGGACAGATACACCTTCCCGCTCTGCCTCTCTGCAATTGCTTCCATACATGCAGTGATCAGGACGGTAGTTCCACTGGCAGGGGAACACGTAGAGACACTCTGGTGCCAACAAGAGAAAGACACAATCAGTGCCAGTGATGAAACCAACATTTCCATAAACTGCACACCACATGGGATTTCAAAGCATGTGAGTGATTTGTGACTTGTAGCCCAGGTTTTGCCATGTTTGTTAATAGTTTGAGTTCAGGAATTGAAGGATCACGCATTAGTGATGTTGGAGACCTTACCCCAAAGAGAGGGGGAATATAGCATCTTGGACAAGAAGTCAAACAATGGCAGCAGACAGCTTGAGACAGAATCCCAACTCTGTGGATCAAAAACGGTGCAACCTAGGTCCAGTGACTTAATCGCCCTGTGTTTCAGTTTCCTTATCCACAAGATGGATGTAATAGAATTGTCCCGTTATTGATGATTCCGTTTTTTAAAAGCTCGTGTAAAAGGCATAGCAGAGGGCCAAGCACTCAGCTGTGGCCCACAGTGTTAGCAGTTACAATCAACTCTTTGGAAAGGTTTTGTGAAATGGACCAACCTGAAAAATTAGCATCAAGAGTGAAGCAAAGGTTCCTCTTCAGATTAAAAAGCAATCAAGCAACAGAAACAAAATGAAGGAAAATAAACAAAATACCACAATAACAAAAAAACAAAAACAAAAAACCAAAAACAAAAAACAACCCACCCAAACAAAAAAGCAAAATAGAAAAGAGTTCTCCCAGTCCCCAAAAAAGAAGTCCTCATGTCCCAGTGACTATGTACACTGTGGGTGAGCATGTCCACATGTGTACCTGTGTCTGCATCTGTATTTCACAGGTTCTTAGCAAGGGGTGATGCTATTCCAGTCTCTAAGGGCCATCTGGCAGTGTTTGGAAGGAGACATTGGTCATCATATGTGAGGCTGCTATTGGTGTCTAGTGGGTAGAGACTAGGGATGCTATAAACATCCTCAATGAACAACACAGCCCCCACCACAGTAGTAGTGCCAAGGTCAAGAAACTCAGCTCTAATCCTGTTGGACTCAGTAAATTTCCTCTTGGTGACCAGGATTATAAAATTAGCAAAGCGTTCATAACCCTCAAGCTTCCTGGCTTCTCCTTCCTGTGCCTTTAAAGGCTGGGCCTAGAGAAGGATGGATCAAAGTTCTCTGCAAACATGCATCACTCACCATGAGAAAGACCTTGAGTGAGAACACAGAAGACTTGGAGCAAATCAACCACCCGTGTCAGAAAAGCATTATAAAGACGTGTTGTTGGTTCGGTTGATGGTATTTCCTTCTTATGGAAAGCACTGCTGCTTAGAGGTTATTTACAGAAAGCGTCAACATGGAAAGCAAAGAATGAAAACACCACTATACATCCCCTCTGGCAGACGGTGTGTAGCATTTCCACCACTCAGAATTTAGAGGCCACTGTGGGATTCCCTGGCAGTCAGTGTTTAGGACTTGGAACTTGCACTGCCAAGGGTGCAGGTTTAATCCCTGGTCGGGGAACTAAGATCCTGCAAGCCGCACGGAGCAGCCAAAAAGCAAAACAAAATGAGAAACTTACAGACCACTGTGACACGGAAGCACCTTCTAATCCCTAATTGTTCACAAAACACTGCGAGATTTCCCTTTTCTTGGGAAAACTCCATTCCACCATGATGCTTCTCTTACTTGCATTCACCTCCATCGTGCACATACGTAATTCACAACTGGGGGAGAGTGGTGCTCACCCTGAAATCATACTATCAGGACGTGAATCCCAGTTCCTTTATTAGCTGGGTGACTTCCCTGTACTTCAGTGCAGAGGGAGAATGTGAGGATGGTGGGAGTGAAAATATCTAAATGTACTTTGTGCTTCTGAACTGCAGCCTGACGCCAGCACAATAGCTGCCCCTTTTAACCCAAAGAGTCACTTCACTCCTTCCTGATGCCTCCCTGGTCTTTTGGATTTGCAGCCCCTGCTTGAGCACCTGCCAATAACCTCTGCTGAATGTACTGCCCTAGACCCTATCTCTGATTTGGTAAACACATGGATTGATCGAATCAACACATATTTGTTGAATGCTTGCTATATGTACAGGTCCTGCCTTTATGGAGTTTAAGGTTGGTGATGAAGGTTTTTGCCTCCTCCTAAATAGTGAAAGGACTCTACTACACACACACACACACACACAACCCCCCAAACAAACAAAAATCCCCCAATTTTTCCTCTCTTTGCAGCCTTAGAAGACCAAGCCCATTTAGGGCATTGTTCAAAGGTGAAACACAAACACACAGAGGCTAAACAATAGGTTATTAAGTAACCAATGAATCACTGAAGAAATTAAGGAGGAAATTAAAAAATACCAAGAGACAAATGACTACGAAAACACAACAATCCAAAACCTATGGGACACAGCAAAAGCAGTTCTGAGATGGAAGTTTATAGTAATACAATCTTACCTCAACAAACAATAAAAATATCAAATAAATGACTTAATCTTACACCTAAAGCAGCTAGAGAAAGAAGAACAAACAAAGCCCAAACTTAGTAGAAGGAAAGGAATCATAAAGATCAGAGAAGAAATAAATGAAGTAGAGATGAAGAAAACAATAGCAGACACCAGTAAGACTAAAAGTAGGTTCTCCGAGAAGATAAAAAAAAAAAAAAAAAAACTGATAAACCCTAAGCCAGATTCATCAAGAAAAAAAGGGAGAGGATTCAAATCAATAAAATAAGAAATGAAAAAGGAGACATTGCAATGAATACCACAGGAATACAAAGGATCATAAGCAACTACTATGAGCAACTATATGTCAATAAAATGGACAACTTAGAAGAAATGGAGAAATTCTCAGAAAGGTACAACCTTCTAGGACTGAATCACAAAGAAATAGAAAATATGAACAGACCAATCACAAGTACTGAAATGGAAACTGTGATTAACAATCTTCCAACAGAGTCCAAGACCAGATGGCTTCACAGGCAAATTCTATTAAACATTTAGTGAAGAATTAACATCTACCCTTCTGAAAATTCCAAAAGGATTTGAAACGAGATAGATTCTTACATTCAGCAGGTTCAAAATTGAGTTCTACTATCTTCTAGCTCTAAAACCTTAGGTGATTTGCTGAAAAACTTGACTTCAGTTTAGGAGCACTTACTGTTGTTTAGTTGCTAAGTTGTGTCTGACTCTTTTGCAACCTCAGGGACTGCAGCCCTCCAAACTCCTCTGCCCATGGGATTTCCCAGACAAGAATACCAGAGTGGGTTGCCATATCCTTCTCCAGGGGATCTTCCCCACCCAGGGATTGGACCCTCGTCTCCTGCATTGGCAGGCAGATGCTTTACCTCTGAGCCACCACAGAAGCCCTTACTGTGTCAGTCACAACCTAACAGCAGAGAGGCTGAGAGCATGTTCTGGAGTCAATCTGTTGAGACTGAATACAGCACTCTGCCATGAGTTGCATGAACTCAAGCAAATTACACAATTTTTTCTGGGCCTCAGCTTCATCATCTGTAAAAGGGGGAAGAATTGTAAATATCACTTGGAGGACTTGAGGGAGTATTAAATGAGTTCATGTCTAGAAGTACATGGAACAGTGCTCAGCACATAGGAGGCACACCGTATATGTAAGCTGCAATCATTACTATTAACACCTTTATTGCCATAACAAGTATTACTGCATTAGGCTGCTAGAAGGATAAAATCAGATAACTTACATGGAACGAGCCTAGCATAGTTCCTGACACATAGTACGTGGGTGGTAAATGTTTTACAGCAATTGCCTCCAGACCTGCAGGTGGCCAGGCTTTCTTAACCTTTTAGGAGTCACAGACTTCTCTGGGAATCTCATGAAGGCTTTAGATTCTGCCTTTAGAAAAATATACGAAGAATATTTGCTTACAAGTTAAGGGTTGTGTAGATCTCCTAAAGACCAGCTAAGAATCCCAGCTATTGAAAGCCACATGTGAAATTTGGTCCAGACAGAATTCAATTAACCTGTTTACCTTCCCTTCAAAATATTCCAGGGAAAGAAATGCAAAACACATCGAGAATAGAACTGAAACAAGTATTTGTTCACCACAATGCAAGGCACTGGTGTCACTGGGTGATAAGGCACTGCCTCTGCCCCTGGGGAATTTATACTCCTGTAAGGAAGATAGTATAGAAATGAACACATTTTATCAGAGTTCATAGAAAGGAAGGCATTTCAGTAAAGCTTTATTTAAACTCAGACGTACAGTAAGGATAGGATTCTGACAGAAATAGCTCTGGGAAGAGCTTTTAAGGAGGAGAAAATAGCCTGATGATGGTGAAGAGGTTGGAAATCAGAGTGTGTTTTAGAAAAGATAAGGCATTTAATTTTTCAGAGCAACTCTATTTCTGCAAAAGGGTAAGCTAATGGTAGGAAAGTTGTCATATAAATAGACTTCTTTGACCTAAGATATTCAAGAAATATACATCTATGTATTAGGTTGCAAGTAACTAACTATGATTCTAACTTGTGAGGCAAAATAATTTTTTTTCCTTTGGAAAGAGAGGAGATAACTCATTAAAAAAAACAGAAAAAAATGGGTTTCCCTGGTGTCTCAGATGGTAAAGAATTCACCTGCAATGCAGGAGACCTGGGTTCGATCCCTGGGTTGGGAAGATCCCTTGGAGGAGGGTGTGGCAACCCACTCCGGTATTCTTGCCTGGAGAATCACCATGGACAGAGGAGCCTGGTGGGCTACAGTCCATGGGGTTGCACAGGGCAGACACGACTGAGCGATTAAGCACACACAGCACAGCTCATAAAATCAGAGAGAAAGCTGAACCGGGGCAGGAAGTGGGGCAGCTCCCGGGATCCAGGACTAACATCAAATTCTCAGCACTGCTGTCAGGATGAACCAGCCTTGCCTACTTTCTGCTCTTGGATTCCCAGATTCAGGTTCCCAGGAGATGGTCTGATGGTTTAGTGCAAGTTAAGGGCAGGCAGGGCTCTAAGACTGCATGGGATGGGGAAGGAGTTCCCTGAGAAATTCCCCTGAGAAAACTGGGTGCTGTTAGTAAAAGTAAGGGCCATCAAGAGTGCACAG